CCTAGTCTGGGTACCTATGTTCCCAAAGCACACAGGAGTGGAGACTTTATTTACTTATCTCCTTAGCAACAGCAATAACAAGCAAAAAAGCTGGTTTTAAGGAAAAGAGCAGTCATAAATAACTTACTGGTGCTACAAAAGTTCTCTCATCAGGTGTGTTGTGAGGCACAGGTCCAATTGCCAGAGGGATCTGCTGACTCAGGGTCTCTGCTGTACCTGCTGGACTAGAGTACCTCCCGTGAACTCAAGGACAGCAGAATGGTTACATGAGGAAAGGTTCCTCTGAGCAGGCAAACAATTTTGTGTGTTTTAGCCTACCTAGATCTGAGGGAATTGACCTCAGATCTCATTCAGGAAGATTTGCACCGAGAATCTCCTTCCTTGTTTGAATAAGCCAAGGCAGTGGGACCTGTGCCTACTATTGCCAGGTGCTTTCTTCAAGAAAACTCATCTGTGCCTCATCCAAGAGGGGTTGGAGGGGTGGGTGCCACTATCAGGCTGGAGCTGACAGCAGAGCCTGGTGACTCACCTGTCAGCCCTGGTGTGATGCCCTCAGAGAGGAGGGATCTCTCTGCACCCCGCTGCTGTTATAAAATGCGGTGATGATGGCATCTGTCATTGCTGCTGTGATGAGGGCAATCCTGGGCATGGTGTAAGAGAGCTCCTCAGCCCTTCCTGGAGCTCCCAGGGCTGTGGTGCTGAGCCAAACCTCTCCCAGGCCTTGGGCACTCCAGCTGAGAGCATGTGGCACACGAGTGCCCAGGGAAACACGGAGCTTTCCCTGCTGCCTCCCCCAGCCCTGTATTTCTCAAGAGAGAGTAGCAAGAGGGGAGAAACAGGAAGATGTTACACAACCATTTACTGAAATTAATTGCTAAAGAGATCTGACATGACATATCTCAGAGCCTAGTCAAGTTCTTACAAAAGCCCCATGCTTCTCAAGTCTTCTCAAGTCTTCTAAAGGACCAAGGGTACTTGTACTTTTCATACGACAATTATTCTACCATCTGGGAAAGTAAATAGAGATTATACTGGGGGTAAAAAAAAAAAAAAAATTTACTTTGTCACTAATTCAGGTTTCTTGACTTCTAGAAATTGATGTAATTTGCAATATACACAGATAAGCCAAACTGAGTCAACTTGTTACAAGTAATTACAATTTTGAGCTCAAAAAAATAGCCACAGCTTCAGCTTCAGTAAGGATGGCAGCTAAACCAGCTCCAAAGACATTGCTCCTGAGGAAGGCACTCTGCTGTCCCTCAAAACACTGCACCTATGTGACTTTAGTGCAGGAGCCCACTGGCTCTGGGCTGTTGGCCACTAAACAAATGAGTCACTGTTGCGCTTTTCCAAGTACAGTCATGTCCAGGTGTTATTTCTCAAACACTTTTACTGAAAGCAAGTCATAATCTGCAGTTAGCGACAGCTCTGATTCATCCACATACACTTAACCATGGGACAGGCTGCCAGGGTGATGGGGCTGTCTCTATCACTTCCCAGGCTCTTTGGGACATTCCAGTTTGCCCATTCTTTTTCTTGCCAGCCACGTTGGGAACACTCTATAACTGGCTGGCACATTTATTTGCTAATGACAAATTAAAGACCCAACCTGAATGTAGCAACTACTGAGATGTTACTGTTTAGCCTTGTTGTCTTGAAGAGGGCAGTATATTTGTTATCCCTTTCCTCGCAGAGGCACAATCACAGCTCCCCAAGTTCCTTGGCTGCATCTTGCCTGCTGCTGCTGCTACTATGGTCTGTGTTAACCAGTGCTGGGAAGGTCTCCAGCCATGGCAAGGTCCCAGCTGCCTGTGGGTACAGCTTCACACAACCACCCCATCGTAATGAACCATACATTAATTGCATATCATTACATACCCTGTTAAATGCCATGAATCCCAAAGCGTGCCCAGCACCCTGTGTGTGTACCCTCTCTGGCTGGTTACAGTTTACGTTTTGTGAGCAGTTACATGATGGGCTCTGTGTTAAATCACTGCAGGAGACCCTCAGCAGGTTGTGCTGAACTGCTCCAACCAGCGACATCACCAAGGGTAAACTGGTAAGGTGCAGGAGAAGACACCAAAAACCACCCACCTTCCTGTAGCACACACTGCTGGGGCACAGCAGGCAGGATGCGCTCCAGAGGCACCTGACAGTGCTACTGCCCCCTCCTCTGCCTGGGCTTTCCACAGCACCTCGGAAAAAAAAGACAGCCAAAAAAATGCATTATTCTACACTAGCTACACATTAAGGCACAGTGGTTTCTAAGCAGTGACAGTGGGTTTGAGCTTGGGTATTTCAGTTTCTCTCTCAGTGCTGTACTGACATAATTTTAGACTAAATGTTGAGGCGCAGCTGTTTCCCAGCACGAGGCAGGCGAAACACTGCGGTGTGGGGCAGAGTTGTAAATCGTACGCTGTGAGCAGTTGCAGGAAATAAGTGGAATTAACTCCTGGGATCCCGTGATGCATGGCAGCAGACAAAGCTGTGCCTTGCACTGTGGTTTCCAGATTTTGGATGGTTTGTGGTGGTTTAGACAACAGCTTTTAGTGCACAGCCACCATGCCCCACTACTCACCTCTGACGTGTGTGAGTGCTGATGCTAACACTGGTTTTTCACTATTACCTATTTGATATTGCAAAGAATAGTCCTGAGTTAGGTTTGGATTAGCAACATGCAATCTGTGCTGGTGAAACTCCAACTCGCATACATCATCACAACAACAAAAAATTAGTTTACACCTCACTTCAGCAGCTTTGGTGAACTGGTACACAGGCAGTCGCTTTATCTAACAAGAAAAGCCCAAGACGAGTAAAGCACCTTGTTTTTCCCATGAGTTACACCGCAGGGGTGGACACACACGTGGCTGAATTAAGACTCCTGACTTACCTGGGCACACGCAGTGTCGGGAGTACCAAGGACTCGCTCCCAGTGCAAGGTCTGACCTCCCCTTGCCGCAGCGTGGGGACACGGCCAGGGGCTCGTGAACACCAGGAGTAACGGCACCGACATGCAAATCATAGGTTATGCATCAATCAAGATATCACTTTTATTAACTGGATTTTCCATTTCTGTCGCACACCGTGAATGTTTATACAATGAAAAAGCCAAACATTGCTGGAAGCAATAAGATCAGCTGATATTTCTGTACCCTCTTAACACACACACATGGAGTCTTTCTCGGTGAGAAATTTTTATATTTCTGTTCATTAATTCTGCTTATTTATACTGCTACTCTTAAAGTTCTGTGTCAAGATTGTCACATCTTAAATACAGAGTAAGTTGCTAGAGGTACATTATTTTTTATATATATATTTATATACACACATACAGAAAAATACAAGACTAATTGTTTTTCCACAATATTTAATTTATACACTACTGTAACTATATGCAACTTTTAAAGACACGTTAAGGGGTACAAGAAACTGTTTACTTGCTCTAAATAGTTTGGTCCGATATTATTGTAATGTAGTGGTTATTCTCGCCCTTCCTTTTACGTGACAACAGAATACAACATACACCACATGCACAGTCATTCACCTGCCAACACAGGGGTAGAGGACACCACTCAGACTAACATCTGTACGCCCAGAGGTTCAACCAACCACACACGGCTATAAGGCTATGATACAACTATGCAGCATAAATGGTCAACACTGCTGTTCTAAAGTGAGCACCATATATACAGTCGTATATAAAAACATCGGAAACAAAAAACACCTGGGGTTAGTTAAAAGGTGCCATTCCAAGGCTGTACATAATATATCAGGAAAGAGTATTTACAATACTTGGAAAAAAAGCTGCAACAAATAAGTTTATTGCCAATGCCCTTTATAAACTTGTCTCCTACTTGGATGTTACGCTCACTGTCTGTGAACCACACATCTTGTTTCTGGCCCTTGGTAAGATCCCTGCTCAAAAATTTCAAGCAAATATGTTCTATGGCTTCACCCACACATCTACTCTTGTAGCTTTTGATTGATAAATACCACACTGACTAAACTGCAACTAGAGTTTAAAACTTAAAGTAAAAAGCTTATCCTTTGCCTTGTTTTGGAAGCAGAGTGCAAAATCCCTGGCGAGGCCGCCCAGTCAGAACACCCCGTGTGATATGGACTCTCCTGGCAACATCTTTTACTGACCAAGAGCAGCCAGCAGGAGCTGTAGAAATTAGGACCGAGCGTGACGCCCTTCTTTGGTGCTCTGCTCACTCTGCGGTGGATGGGAAACGCGTTGCGTTCGACCATTCTGCAAGTGGTACAAGATGCTCAACAGTGTAAACTCCTCTCGGACATCCCACGCCTGCCTGGGGCGCTGCTACATCACACCCCAGTTTCACTAGCATTGCTTAGTAGACCCAGTGCACAGCATGAAAAAATAAAACATTCTTGCCCTTCCCAAAACTAGGAATCTGCAATATATTTTATTCTAGGTAATAAAATTCCACAAAGTTAATTCCTCTGCTCGAAAGTATCCTTTTGTACAGAAATACTCTAAATCAAGACCTTGCCGTGGCAATGGGGAACCCGACAGAAAGGCTAAGAGCTGCAAAATAAATACTTTCCTCTATGCTATTTTATCGACTTTTAAAGAAGCATAATTACTAAGGGAAAATAAGTGGTGTATGTGTGGGGAAACAGCAGTATTTTAAATCTTAAAAGAGTAATAATGAGAAGAATGTAAATGACGGGAACTATTTCAGTTTGAATCCAATCACCTAAAAGTTTTCCATCCCTTATTGCCTTTTGAACTCTCAAGGGAGGGGAGGAGAGGATAGGGGAAAAGGTTTACAAGGTAAGAACCTAAAATATTAAGCGTCATGATAAACTAATAACAAAATAATTCATACAAATACTTTATTTTCAGTTACCATGTAAAAACTCAGAAGTAGACTTAATAATTTACCTTTGTTATATTAAAAAAGAAGATTGTCTGCTTGTAATATTAACATATTTCTATGGGAGAAAGCTGCCTTACAAATCTACTTGCCTTTTTCTGTTTTTTAAAGAAAACTGCCTCTAGCAAAACAAGATCATTTCAGTTTGATTTTTGAGCCACAACTTTATCCATATCATAGCTTAAGACAAATAGGTGTGGGTTTAAAATCATATTTCAAGATCACTAATTTTCAGTGCATCTTTGCTTTGTACAAGCCTTGGAACATCTGAAAGCTCCCTGAAGAGTTTTCAGCATCAAAACATTATTGCTTTGGTTCTGTTTCAGACACATAGAAGTATGCCACATACCACATCTTTCAGTTATCACAGAAGGTCAGAACAAGAATTAACATTTCACAAGCAAACAAAAGCTTCTCTCTCTAGTTCAAGTGCAGAACATGAAACTTCTAAGTGCTCCATTTACATTAGGATCCAGATTTTTTTTTTAAATTTAATCCAGATCTTCCATAGTAAAATTATAAATGTAAAAATCACACAAAATATTCTGTTTTGTTGAAAAAAGAAACAAAACATATCGGCTAGCAGCATGCAAAGACCATGCATTGTCATACCATCAAGCAAACACAAAATTAAAGTGTAATAAATAAATGCTCAAAGCCCACTTAAAAATCTTAAGACAACAAAAGGGGGTCCGGTGACAAGGTGTTCACAGCTCTGAACAGGAAGAATGATGCCGTCAAGTAGATCGAGCGATTGAAGTCCGGTCGCTGTCAAATGACATGACAACAACTGGTTTGACTGGAGGTACACAGCAGCCCCTCCTTTGGGTTCCGCTGAATATTCACAGATATCGTCTTTTCGCAGAGAGGTAGTTGTAGCACATTGTTTTTCAAGTTCCTGCTCTTTATCCGTTCCAATTTGTTTGCCGTGTCTGACATTTGGTCAGAAAAAAACTTGAGGTTGGCCAGCGATGAAGCCTGGTTTGCGCTTCCGCTGGAACTGATGCACATTTTCCACGTTGATTTCTCCTGTACTTTTACACTGGAAAAGGACAGATTGTTTTGAGGATCAATAATGTATTTAGTGCTGCCATGAATCTGTGAGCCTAGGCAAAGGCTCATTAACTTCAGGCTTTCAACCAGTTCCCCTGCGCTTCTGGATGATAACTGCATCGAGTTTCCGGATCCAGCGCATCTCCGAGTGGAACCTGAAGTGTTGTTGGTGCTGCCGCCGGAGCTCCCGGAGGGGCTGCCCCCACCTTTGTTGTTATCGCTTGGGCTCGTTTTGTCAACCCCTCCATTCCCGTTACTCGGTTTGCTTTGGCCGCCACCATCTCCTTGGCTGCCAGGAGGCCCTTCGCTGCTATCCCGTCTGTGCCAGGAGTAAGTGAACCCACTGTCTTTGTCCAGGCGTCTCCTGCTTTCCGAGTCATCGTCGCTTGTTTCTGAGCTACTGCAACTGGAGCCCCGGCCCTGGCTTTTCCTCCTGTGGTAGCGTTTATGCACTGTGCTTGGCGAAGCAATATTCATTTTTAACCTGCTGAGCTTTGGGGGTAAGTTCTCATCCATGTCAAACTCATCATCTGACTCGCCCTCCTCGAAGATCTGATTGAGGACTGGTGCGCTCTTTCTCGAAGTCAGACGATTTGTAACTGAAGGCTTACGGCGCAGAACAACTTGAGTAGAAAGAGAAATAGGTTTCTTATCTTCTTCATCCTCCTCTTCATCTTCTTCTACTCTGAACAAGCACTTCCGCCCACTTGTAGTGGGTTTTAAGCTCACTGATGGGACTGCTGAAAGTGCCGGTCCAGCTAATTCAGGGATGTCTTCTTTCTTTGCCGAATCGCCAAGGGCCTTGCTTCTGTGGCCGTTGAGAACATTCTCGGCCGTGCGAGCTGGGGACTGAGGAACAGTCGCATGGGAGAGAGGAGAAGCTGTAAGGTCATCCTCCAGATCTTGAGGTACATCAATTTTTGTTGGCCATGATTGCCTGCACAAACAGTTACAAAGGACAAAATGTTAAATCACAGAAAGCATTTCAGAACCTGTAAGAAAATGTAAGAGCTACACAAGAGAAGCACAAGCACTGCCACACACATGGGTCTGCTCAGTGGCACCTTTGTAAGTAATGGTACTGAGTAACCAAGCAAAAAGAAACATCCTCAGCAAATGTGTTATTGTGCTGTCATTTGAAAGAAACATCGTATATACAAAAGCATAGTTTAGAAATTATCTTGGTTGCTGTCCAGTGAAATTTTAACATTTCACTGCTTTTAGAAAATGAATTAAGCAATAAAAAACTGTAAATAATTGTGTCTCAAAGAAAATCATCTGAAGTAGGTACAGAAGCACCAGTACCTAGAGCTGATTCAAGCACATCTTAAATAAGATAGTATTACAAACGACTTTTAATCCGAAGCTTGTGTTATTTTTTCCCCCAGTATTCTTAACATAAAAATTAGGTTAGAATTAACATGAGTGAGACTGGAAGGCTGAGTCAGAAGAAACGTTTCATTTTCAGTCAGCCTCATTCAGACTAAGCTCCATTCTACAAAATCCTCTTTAATTTTAAACACACTTGAATTGAGATCATACATTTATTTAACCTTAGCTGAGCAACTGTATTATTCGATACAGCTGCGTGAATTCAGGACTCAAGCTGCTTAAGAATATGACACTTGAATAAAGTGTAAATCAAAGTTCAACACGTATGACTGGGTACTAGCATTTGCTCAAGTCAAAATGGAAGTGACACTTGAGTGTAAATTGGTTTTACAGTTAGCAGCTGATGTCTTGTTTTCAGGATCTAAGCTAGTATCGAATTATTTGTATTTTATGTTAAATCCTAATGTATGTTGTACTCATGCAGCATACTGCATGAAAAGCTGTAGTAGAGACCTCAGTTCCCACAGGGATAGCGTATTACAAGGCATTCCCAACCATATTTTGAGTGTGCCAACAGAACGGGCTGCATGACTTTGTGGCCCAGTTTAGAAACAAGGTGTAGGAGGAAAGCAGGAGAGGAAGCAGAGAACAAGCATGACCCCCAATATCTGCTTGGACAGCCCACATATGAAAACAGAAGGATCATGCCAGCTTCCTGATGTCTGCTGTGTCAAGAGGCCATGCTGAAGAAACAAGAACATCTCACACACTTCTTTGCTGTTCTTACTCTAAATGTGTTCTTTTAGCGTTTCGAGTTAATGGAAGCACCTGCACTGGGACTGCATTAGCTGAAAGGCTCCCTCTGTAATGGCTGGATAGAAAACCATCCTGAAGTGCGAGATGCCTCTCCACACAGGTCACAACTGACAATGTCTTCCCAACTGTAGCAACTTTGAAGAAGCGTGCTTTAATAAAGCCAACATAGAACTCATCAAGCCTAACCACAGACTTTGTTTTGAAGTGCTTCAGTTCTCCTTAACGAGCCAGTGGCACAAAAATCCACCAGGATCCTCTAACAGCAGGACCTGGCTGCCACCACTGACCTGCTTGCGTAGTCCACTCCCTGCGAGGCGCCACAAAGGCTCCTTCCTGTCTCACTGGGCACCGGGAGCTGCTGGTGCCCTCCCACCAGTTTTGCCCCAGTGAGCAGCTCTGCCTGGAGGGAGGCCACACAACCAACCAAGCTGTCCAGCCAAGAAGAAGAGCCTGGGCTGTGGTCCTCCTTGGTGTGACACTGCCATCCTCCCTCGGGCCCCAGCTGCCTCCAGGAATGCTGGGAACCACTGACCTAGTTTTTCTGATGACTTGTGCTATGCTGGGTATTTTAAACACAAACAACTGTCTCTGATTAACAAATAGGACCTAAATAAATTAGAAACATAGCTACAAAAGTGACACAAAATGAAGATCGAAGCGTTTCAAGAGTTTACTGTGCTTTAAGAACAGACTGGTTTGTAAGCAAAAAAAGGAAGAGTTGTTCTGAGGCTGTCACAATAAAGGGTAAATATAGTATCTAACAGTACTGCAGTTTCCAGGCAATAAACCTCCTCACTACAGTATGTTTATCTCTCATAGCAGCCCATGTTTGCCTCCCTTCCCTTCCCCCACTTATTCCCTGTAGGCCTGAGGAGCGAGTAGGACAGAAGGGAAGCTCCAGGTTGCAAGTAAGTTAATTTTATTTAAAAAAAAAATAAAATCTTTTGAAGTCTCAAAATCAAAGTAATGCACTACTTTGTTTTCTTTTACATGAGGTCATTCTATATAAGCACTTTGAATTTGGAACCCTTGTGAAGACAAGGAAGAGCTACCTGGGACCATTAAGGTCAAGAGTTCCTGAGTTTATGCAGATGGCCTTGTCATGAAAAGAAAATTCACACTCACCAGGCAGGCTTCAACTGCTCCCTTCAACCTTACAAATTCATACCAAGATTTAGATACAACGAACTTATTTATTCCAGTTCCTCATAGAACTGGAGCAGCTTTTCTACTGAAACAGTGACATTGATGGAGAGAAAAAAACCTAGAACAATTTAAAATTAAATTTTTGGTTCTGCAGGCCCTTAGTTGTCTGCAACAATAACTCTCCTAGAGTACTTGTAAACATGACACATCAGATAAAGGTTCCTACATAAGTGACCATTGAGTGAATGGCCCTTTAAGTGCAGCAACAAAATTTCAGACTACTCTAGTACACAACACAGGGTGCAGTCTCATCTGGAGATGAAGGAGAGGTTGAGAACCACTCTAAGGTCCAAAGAGAAACAACTCATTATTCAGGTAGAGGGAATGATATTCACAAGAGACTCCTCTAAAAGCCTCCAAAATCTCAGCCTGAATTGAAGGTAACAGTCAATAGAGATAATGTATCTTTAGCCTGGTTTTCCAAAGTTTGTGCCCGAACTAATAACAAGTGTCCATCCTGTCTAGATTGAACTCGAGGTGGTAGTACCTTACTTTTATCAGTTAGAACAAGGAAAATAAGGATTATGCCCTAGAAGGACACCACAGCATTTATGTCTCTATTATCATTCCTGTGAAATGACTTCACGTGTGACCTTGCATGAAAGTTGCACGAAGAAACCTTTGGAATGGACAGCCTATTTTGTCTTTTACTCTAAATCCTACAGCTAGATTCACAACACTGAAGGTCGGGAGCAACTTTACACATCAGCACAAGCACTTAATATTCTTCTCTGGTTAAGAGATTAGTTACTAACAATTGGTTTTATTGCTAACAATTTGCTACCAGTAGTATTTTACCAAAACCTAAAAGGCAACTTTTGAAGAGACTGAAGGTTAGCAAACAAAAACTAATGGAAATGCCTCAGCACAACCTTCATCCTCATTAAAATGGTTGTTTTCAATACCAGTAAATCCTTAAAACTTAACTCAGGAAATTAAAAACAAAATATTTAAGAAAAGTAACTGTTCAAAACTTGCATCCTCCAATATCAATGTGTAAGTAGAAATGATACCATTTGCCTTGTGTTTGTTTTGGTGGTAGGGGGATTTGTTGGCTTGGTTTGGTGTGTGTTTGTCTGTTTTTAAGCATATGCTGCTCTAACTGAAAATATGGGATGCTCTGATAACGGGCTGCAGAGCGAATTGACTGGCTGAACATACCAATACCACCTACGTGCCAGAACCCCGCTTCTCCTTTTAGTTTTACTGCATCACAAGCTGAAGCTTTGAAAATCTCAGGGAACCTTACTGTAAGGTTTTTTAATAATGTTTTTGTCAAACTAACAACAAAAAAAATCTATTCCAATATCCGTAAATGGACAATTGAAACAATTAATTCAACAGTTTTCCTCAGACAACAGGCATATCGACTGACATTAAAAAGAACATAACCTGCAGAAGTTTGCTCTAAACTTGATTTAGGGGATGTTTGGCCCATTAAAAAATCAAAGCTAACAACTAAACCATAACACCAAATCCAGAGTGATTTCTCATTTATAACTAATTTTCCACAACACATTTATGGATTATGCAACTTTTTTTCTTCCAGGGATATTACATACAGCATTTGTATGAGGAACTGAAAGTCAATGAACATGCCCTTTCCTAGCAGGTTCAAAAACTTACTACTTCAGAGACAACCTTCAAATTGATTAGGCATTTCCTGAAAATGCTAGGAATTGAAAATATTACTGGTAACTGATTTCCAAACAGCTTCTGAAGCATCCACAGCACTTTACAGACATTTAAAATTTGCAACGAGTAAGTATTTTACTGTTTTTAAGAAAGTAGTATTTGAGCAATTCAATAATATTCTCACTAAGCCAGACTTAAAAAAAAATAAAATAAAAAAAGAAACCATTTATATTCCTAAATTCTCACCTGAACTGAGCTTTGATGTTGCTGGGGCTCGCAGATCTGGTCTGAATTTCTTTCTCTTGTTTTTCTCTCAGAATCCTTTCTGCTAGTAAGAAGTAAGTAGCAGTGATGTGGTTGTATTTGTTAGTTTCCAGTGCCCTAAGGAAAGTACAAAATGGGAAAAAGCATACATCAATGGTTTGCTAAAATCTGGACGTGCATCTTGCACACCTTGCTGTACATCCCATAGCAGGAAGAGTGCCTGTAAGCAGCACTGTGTATTTTTGATGTTCTGACAGTGTGTCTTGCTTTTATTAAAAATAAAGAGCCAGCAAGTCTAGTAATTTCAACTATGGTTGGATGAGGGCACCTTTAGAGTATCAACCAAAAAAAGTAATTCTTCCTTTATAGCACATTCTTGCAATGGCAACATTGTATTTCATTAATGTTACGCACCAGTGGTGAGCTTTCCCACTGGCACACACAACCACAAAGTACTAATATTTGTTTATGCAACACCTGGAGGAAAAACCTTCATTAGTTTAGGGCTGTCACATTAAGTTTACAGTAAAATTAGGTTCATAAGCCAGCAAGATCATCCTAACGGAAAGGATGCCACTGTTATGCAGCTAAAAGCTTAAGTGAGGATACAGCTTCCCACCTCCCCACCCCCCCCCAATGGTAAGATAGTAACAGTTTTTCCAGGTTAAAACACCAACAAATTGAAAAAACAATTTTAAGTCCTCTTTCAATTTTGAGAACATTTTAGAAACTTGGGGGGTTTCCTCTACTAGAAGAAACTATGTAGCCTTCTAGCAAGCTCACTCACTGACAATTGCTTTTTGCCTTATATAGAAAAAAGAAATAGTCTTTTAAATTAACAAAGATTCAGGTATACTGGAAACTAAGGGAAAAATGCTAGAATTCATCAGCTACAGAGACGCATGAGATATGAAGCACGAGTACAAGCATGGATTTCAGAGCAGTTAAGTTTACTCAAAATGGCAAACTACCACAGGAACCAAACACTGTTCCAACATATTTTCTCAAAGCTTTTCTTAAGGTTGGGTCTACCTAAGTATTTCTCACCTTAGAATATCCTATCACAGAGCAAGACTGCGATATTTGTTTGTTAACAGCACAGCATGATATTTCAACACTTCAGTAATTAATCAAAAACAACAGATGCACAAAACAAACCACACCACATACAGAATATCGACAACTTACTCCACTATTGTATCTCGGTCTGCAATATCCCCAAGAACCATGCGTTGTATTATACTGTTGTGCTCCTCCTCAGACAGGTTTTTATATGACACGAGAGGAATATTGTACTTTGTTGCAGGAGATGGGTCAACTCCTTGGAGCCACGCATGGTTTTCAATCTCCTCCAAAGATGCCCTTCGCTTCGGGTCTCTCTGCAACATCCGTGTAATTAGGCTGCGAATAAAAAAAATAAACCTAAACAAAATGCACTCATGTTTAAAAAGCAGCCTTTGTAAGAGCAACATTAGGAAGAAATTTCCTGCTGTTGGTCCACATAAATCTTTAGAAGTCTCTACAATAAACAGCGTGATGGGAAATTATTTCTTCTCAAAGACATTCCAAACATTGCTGAACGGAAACAATTTGTCTATTAAAAACTCTAAATATCATACACGTTGCAGTTTTCATTTACTATGCTTAGATTCTTAACCTGATTTTTCTGGTTGGTTTGGTTTTTATAGGTCTTATAAAGCTACGGTCACAGGTGGCCTACAGGCTGGTCTGTAAAGTAACAGGAATGTAATTTTCTATTATTGCTGCTGTCAACAAGAATGTGGAATGGCGAGATAAGTAGAAATATTTTATTCTGAAATAGCTATCAGACATTTGCTTCTTCAGTATCCATGAAGGAAAAGTGATCTGGTCTATCCATAAAGTAACAAAAAAAACAACCCCACTGTCTGGGATGATGAAGTGACAAACGTCCTAATGGGTTGATACTGAGTGTTTACAAGTTCTGGAAAGGAAAGGCATAAATTCCTCACATAAACAGAGCAAGAAGGCTTGATTAGCACAGCACATCTCTGTTCACTTACTATACGTCAGAAATTCTTGGGGGAGATATTTTTGGCTTTGCACAATAAGCAGAGCATGGATATACAGTTTTGGTGCCAAGGTTTCAGTGAAACTATTGCTCCAACATGTGGAATGGAAGTTCTGCAGTTCTCACAATGCTTTTTATTGCACTAACCATACTACACCGTGCAACCTCAGACTGTGAGGAGACACAAATTACAAAGGTAATTGCATTTATTTTATTATTTTTTTAGCATGAGATGGTGTATGGAATTAAAAATGGAGATTAATTCAGACTTCTTAAAACTCTACTGTAGAAAAACAAATGTCACATCTATACTTAGTAGCTGCGGTCTCTGCCTTTACCGAAAGGCGGGGTGAGACATTGGAGCCTTGATTTTCTTTGCTTTTGTTAATATTATAACAGAAAGGGAAGAAACTATATACTTAATTTACTTTTTTAAACTACATCTGTAGTAAAACCACACAAATGTACCACATGTGCCTCCCGCTTTAAGCTTGCTTACGTATACGAAACCACCAAGAATGTTTTCACTCCAAGCAGGAAGTTTAAGCATTCACAGAGTCTTTTCCTCCTAAGAAATCCTAAATTATAGAGGAGTTTGGTAACTGATTGTACATTATTGATGCACCACGTAGAGAAAACAGATCTACTTGGGCCTTTAAGCAAATTAGCATTAGCCAATATATTAAGCGAAAGGCTGCAAAAAGCAAGTTTCCTGGCCTCAGCACAGCATGCAGCATCTCATGAGATGATACAAGTCACTGATAAGAGCTCTCTTTTAAACCTCTTCCTGTCTTGTATTTTAACACTCTTCCTGTACGTAAAACTCTTCAAGCTGTTGCGAGCACCTGTAGCTGCTTTCCCCTGTTATTGGAGATGCTAGACACTAGTGACAAGACACAAAAACCAGCTATGGCATCGTGTTATGCATTAGATTCCAGGACCATACAGATGACAGGTGACGAGAGGAACAGTCATTATGACCAAAAATAAAGTTTCAATTCTGTAACAAATTTCATTCTGTGTCAAATAACAGAATCCAAGATGCTACTCTAGATTTTTGACTGGACCAAATGCATTTTGCAAGCATTTATAAAGGCTTCTGGAGTTTCATAGTGAAAATGAAAAGATACTCTACTGCAGAGTCAAGAACCCAGCAAAGCACTGTAAAATAGTTTTAGTGATGCAACTGGGATATATATTAAAAACACTGAAGAGGTCATTAACTGAGAGGGAAATATGGGAAGTAATGAAACATTACAAAAAATAAAAAGGCTGCAGCGAACACCGCAGAAAAACAGCACATCAAAATGAGTCATGATTCCCAAGTGGCATATGGTATTCGCAGACAGAATATTCCTCTCCCTTGATTGCCTAGAATGTTGATCTGGAGTTGCAATTTCAGTAGGAGAAAAGCAAAACTTGCTGCGATATCCTTGGGTTTCCACGACTTCTATTTTGCAATAGAAATCTACCGGAATCAGTATCTTTCTCTGCTGCAAAATACTCTCAGCAACACCTTGTAATTTGTCCAGCAAGAACGGTAGCCAAAGCCAGTCGGTGGTGAGCAGCTTCTTCAATCACTTATAAAATGCATGACAACTGAGACACATTTAAAAATATATATATATTGTGTAAAATTAAAATTCAGTTTCACACAAGAGCGGGAACAACCTATTGGCAAAAAATAGCATGGGATTAACCTCAAACAAGAAGAGACACAAAGGGTTTTATAAAAGCAATAATGTTGCCCGAGAAACTACTCAATTGATGTGAAGAAATACTAACAACTAAGCAAAAGCAGTAGGCACAATATATTACTAACAGGCAAGGAATATTTCACACGCTGATAATACAGTGTAGGG